CCTTTTATTACTTTAGGAGAATGTATCTCTTTTATTATTTTCCATCATGAGAGTTAAATTATTCCTCTTAATTTTGGGAGATGAAAGGGAAGTATTAATAAAACAAATAAATAATAGTGAACTACTTTTTTACTTTATTACAAATGTTTTCATATTTTTAATGAGACTTTAAGTAAAGAAGTCTATTCGTTTGCCCCTTTTGTTTCAGACCTTTTTAGCAGAATCGCATAAATCTTTAGCAGAGGCTCAGGAAAAACTGCACAACCTGGAAGAAGAGCTTGCAGCAGAAAAGTCGCACAAAGAAGATCTCTTGGCACGAGCGGAAGCTCACGAGGTGCAACTGACTTCTCTCATTGGGGAAAGAGAGCGTACGGCTGAGCTTGCACGTAGTCGCCAAGAAGCTCTTGCAGCACAAGTGGTAGCAGTCGAAGACCGCTGTTCCCGCCTTCTTGGAGAAGTGTCCGAGAGGGACCAACAACTCTCTCATCTGAAATCTGAGTTTGAAGGATACAAAGTCCGAGCACAGGCAGTACTCCGTCAGAAATCCACAACAGTGGTGTCAACAGCTCCAGATGAGAACATTGCAGAAGAGTGTGTGCGACTCCAACGACAGAATGAAACTCTTCAATTAAAACTTGAAGAAGCTCTTAGCAGGCTGGAAGCCGCAAATTTTGAGCTGGCTGCTGCGCAGGATGAGCGAGAGGCTGCTAATCATCACAGCCAGGAGTTTGCGCGAATGATTGAAGAGCTGCGTCAGAAGGAGAACTGTTTAATAGAACAGCATCATGAGGCCCTTAGGGCTGCAAAGCTGCAGACTGAGACCTTGCAATCATGCTACAAGGTATTTTTATTTTATTTTATTTTAAAAAATTCTTTTTATTAACAGACTCATCCATATATACATAAATTTAACAAATATTACATATAATACTTATTACATAATTAGAACTTTTTGACAATTGTTTAACATTTAAATCTCATGTGGAGCAACTTATGTGCTCTGCCAATAGAACATTGGGTTTTTGTGATGAGATTAAGCAGAAATATATGTTCAATACAGAACAATACATCTCAGAAAACTTTTTGTGGTCTTGTACGATCTAAACTTGAATATGCATTGGTTGTGTGATCTCGTAATAATAAATATATGTACAATACTGGAAAAATGTCAGAGACAGTTTTTAAAATAACTTGAATTTCGTGATCGTGGTTCATAGCCACCTTGAGCAACTGATGAACAATACCTGCTCCAAAAATTTGACTTGAACAGCCTTAAACACATGGGACAATTACTCTATTATATTTTGTTAAGGAATTAAGGTATGATTGCAAAAAAACCATTGAAGGAAAATTATCTATTTCTTATATAAACTAAAAACCACCAATACATTCTTGGGCAATTCTGGATCTGCGAAGAGGAGTCTTAGTTTAGGTGATTTGTGGTTGGTATTGGACTTAAAGGTTTTAGACTCATTTCGATATTATGTTCTCTCACGAAGACAAAATGCCAATAGGTTGTAAAAATTGCCTGTAAAATAACTTTATTTCATTCATGTTTTTGTGTTACTTCACATATTTACTCAAAATTTCTGAATAGTATTAGGAATAATAAGCGAAACAATCCCAAATTCTGAATTAAATTTATAGAAAAATGACTTACATCGTAAAATTTTTGAATACATTATGTACCAATACAAATATACAAACATGGATTTTTCTTTTTTCTTCAACATTTCACTAGTACATTCTTAATGCGGGAACAGGAGTCTAATCGTTATTTTTTCTCCAAGGTTCCAGTGATATTCACTTTTTAGGTACAGTGAAGCTTTCATTTCTACATGACATATGTTGTGCATTAACTCAATTACACCATTTTGGCAGCAATGTTTTGGCGAGGATCCCCCCTCCCCCTTCATTTGTTCATCTTCATTCTTCATCGTCATCCATTCATCTCCATCCCATCCTTTCATTTCTACTGTATACTACTCTATTATTATTGTTATATTTTATTTTATTTTGTTTTATTTATTTTTTATTAAAAAGTTTTTGTTTTTTTTCACGACTTCAGTTGTTTTTCTTAAATCTTCATGCAAGTTTGAACAGTTGTTTCCAATTAGATTTATTAGATTTGTGTGTATCTAAAAATTGTATAAACACCTTTATACATTGCTTGTTGTTTGAGGGTTTGTGTTTAATTTACAGCAACAATTAGAAGAGACAGAATCTCGCCTGAAAGGTGAAGTTTCGCGCCTCACCGAAGAACTTCAAATTGCTCGGAACAAATTCAAAGAGAGAGCAGTGGTCCAGTCGCCTGCGCTTGTGATTGCTGGCCAGGGCATTTCTCCGTCTCACCACAGCAGTGCCTTTGCCCCCGTGAAGCCCTCTGAGCCCTTGGATGTTGCCCTGTTGGAGAGAGAGGAGGGGGAGGTGTGTACTTACTTCTTTTTAGTAGAACCCAACACCCTGTGGAAAGTGTAATCCTGTTTTGGGTTGATTTCAACTAGAATGTTTTTCATTACTTTTCTAATGAAATGTATTTGTTGTGAATTCCAAGAACTATAATGTAATTCAGTGTATTGGCCAATTAACACCATAAATATCAATATTTAAGATTATATTCAATAAAATCAGCTTCTGATAAATATTAGAAATTGTTAGTTTAGTTGTTCTTGGTATTTAAATGATTTACCTCAGTAAATCATCTAAAAATTGATTACCAGTGATCTGAAGTGTACCTAAGTTTGAAAACACCATACTAGTTATTTGGATTACTTTATATAATCAATAATGAGGTATCTGTCATCCACAGGGTAGTTATAAAGTGTAGTGTGTGATGTGGAATATTACAGGAAACAGTCAGCAGAAGTTTTGCCAGGGACAGATGGGGGGATTATTATTATTATTATTATTATTATTATTATTATTATTATTATTGTTGTTGTTGTTGTTGAAAATTTTTGTTTTTATACCTTTAATATTTTCAATATTTCGTTTAGGGTTCCGAGCATGTTGAAGAAATTGCATCTCCTGATGTTGCTTCTGTGAGGGAGCTTGTGCCTCTCGACAAACTTCTAGCTGCTTCTCCTGAAGATGAGAGTTGTAAGTTGTAGTTCTTTTAAAATATATGAACTTGGTGGAAATTTGTAATTGCAATAAATAAGTACTGTAATTGGTTTTTGTTCTTCAACATGTATGTCATGACCTTTTGTAGTGTCTGTAACGACAGTGAAGGATAAACCTGACAATGGGAGTTTGAAGCACCCCCCCAGCAGAGGGAGTGCTGGTAATTCTGAAGAGTCCCAGATGAGGCATCTTGCTTCCCTGTTGGGAGAGACAGAACAAGACTTGGCTCGCCTCACCCAACTCAATTCTGTCTTGAAGGAAGAGGTGAGGCGGCTCACACGTAGTCTGGAACGTCAACAACATGCTGGCAACAACTTGGAATACCTGAAGAATGTTGTTTTGAAGGTAAACTGAGCAAGAAAGCTTATTAAAGTCAATCAAGGAAATCAACAGGATTGGATTCCTTTTCTCCCCTACAAGAACTGGCTTCCCTCTGTTGAAAGAGCTTTGTGCTCATCTTGTTCTTTCAGTTTGTAACACTGCAAGGGGGAGACGAGAGGTCGCGGCTGGTACCAGTGTTGAACACATTGCTCAAACTCAGCCCCGACGAAGCAGGCCAGCTGAGCCATGTGGCCCGAGGTGAGTGAAACTGCGGTGGCAGGCTCAGACATAATCACAACTTCCTCTTTAATATTGGCATCGAGTATGGTTGCCCTCCCACTGGCCCAACTGCGTTAGCTTCACCCCTCCATTGGACGATGTTGCGAGAGGCTTGGGAGAGGGGTCACATTCCTGTCTTTAATTTTGGGCCCAGAAAAGCAATGGAAATTATGTACAGACCCAAGGTTGTAATATGTAAATTATAAAGGCTGAAACCATGCCATTGAAGGTACGCCAATTTTAATCCCCCCACTATTGTCTGTCTACACAATCTGTGGTGTCAACCAAACACTTTGCTACAGTAAGCATAGAAACTATAAAGAAGATAAAGTTGAAGTTACCAGCAGGAGAATTTACATGATTTGTGATTACCATGCAATATATCCTGTGAAATGTTGTTAATTGTACTACATGTGCACACTGGATATGTTGTTCAGCACATAAGGAAATGATCATATCTTCAGACATTTTAGGGTTTTTCAAAGTTGTGGGGATTTGTGCTCTTTGAACATTTTTCTTGTTGTGTAGTGATTTTTAATGCAATACAATAGAATTAACTATGCTCAAATAATAAACTTCATTATTTTAAATTCACTATATTTACCCACTTATGAGGCTTTTTTTATCATCCTGTGTCATCTTCCATTCACAGATGGATGAGATCAGTGACATTAATTTGTTGTTTGGTTGGGATCAGTGTTTTTAATTTGCAGTTGCTATTGAGGATTTGTAACACTGATGAAACAATGCGCCA